CCCCCCCCCCAGCCTAGGACAGGTGTATCTTTATTAAGCACCTGCCTGTGGCTCAGTTAATCCTCAGATCTGTTCATCTTCACAACACCCCCATTGTACTTATAAGTTAACCTAACAGTCAGAGTTAATAAGCAACTGTAGCTTGCATGTGACAGGACGGAAGCTTAGTTAGCCTCCAGCCTGCTACTCCTCTCTATCCCACAGATTCCTGGAGTTTTGTAAAGAAAATGGGGGGTATACTGGATGCCCCTTCCCTGCCAAACTGGACATGCAGCAGGGACAGAACTTACTCCAAGGTCTGAGCAAGCTCAGCCCCTCTACCTCAGGTATGGCTGGGCCGCGGTGGGCCTGGTAGGGGGCAGTGCTGAAGGAGGAGGTAAGAAAGACCAAGTGCACCTTCTTGCTTTCTAGAGCCCCACAATCACGACTGCCTCCCCCAGGAGCAGGAGTGTGAAGAGGGCCTGTCTCTGCAAGTGGAGCCAGAGTGGAGGAATGAGCTCTGAAGACACAGCGGCCAGCCTTCTCACACCCGCCAAGCCTTAACTGCCCACCCGCCCACCACCCCTGAACCAGAACCCAGCCGGCCTGCCCCTCCAAGGCATAGGAAGGCTGGGGGAGGGAGTTTACAACCCAAGCCATTCCACCCCCTCCCCTGAATGACACATCAAGCTGCTAACAATTGGGGGAAGGGGAAGGAAGAAAAACTCTGAAAACAAAACCACGTTCTATGCAAAACTCCATTTCTCTTTAGCAATGCCCCAGCTTCCTGAGCCCCGAAGCTGACCCTGCAGAGGGTGGGTTGTCACACCCTACCTAGGGCCACATCTCCTCCCAGTTTGAGAGGAACCCAGCCCCCACCTCCAGGGACAGAAACCCAGTGGGAGGTGGCAGGGAAGCCACCCACAGGTTTCTAAGTTTAGCCCCTGCTGCAGACCACTCCCCCTCACCCGCCTCCTAGGCCCAGAGCCAGGCATGACCTCATCTTTTAGACTCCACCCTGCCTGCCTTTGCAGACGGGGGGTTAGCCTGGCAGGCAACTTAGAAATGGAGAGATGGGACTTAAAGCTTTCAGCCAAGATGGGGACCAGGAGAGAAAGACAGGAAGTTACTATACAAGCATTGGAACCTGTGGCCTTTATTCATGCCCCCCACCAAGTGCAGTCAGAGACAAGGCCCCAGCCCAAAGCAGAAACCCAGGGGCCCGGGACTCTAGGTCCCTTGCCCCAGTCATTCTCCTGTGAGCCAGAAGTGTATAAAGTGCTGGTGTGTGACCATCCTCTGGGGAAGGCCAAGGAGAGCAAGAGTCCCCGCCCCTGGACCAGGGCAGCAGCGGGAGGGGCTCTGCTCTGGAAGGGCAGGGCATAGGCCTGGGTTCCCAGAGGACTGGAAAGGAGGGCAGGCCTACCACCACCACCCCGGGGCTGGGGAAACAATGCAGTCCTGGGCAGGAGGGAACTGAAAAGGGAGCCTTCAGCGTGGAGTCCTAAGATTGTGAGGTTGGGGGGTGGGTAATTTCTGCACCCCTGTGAAGGGAGGGGGCAAGTAGGGGAGGCCTTGGGGATCTCAGAGAATGGGGCAGCCCCTCCGGCGCTTATTCTTACGGACCTGGAGGCCAGCCCGTGTGGCCATCTCAAATACCTCCCGCACCCCCTCCTTGGTCTTGGCTGAGCACTCAAGGTAGCCAAAGGCACTGATCCGGTTCGCCATGTCCCGGCCTTCCTCAGACCGCACAGGCTCCTGGGAATACAGAAGGCGAGGAGTCAAAGGAAGCCATTGGCTAGGTGTACCTCTCACCACCTCATCAATAACTAGAACAAATACCTCCTTCAGTCCTGACCCCACAAAGCACCCAGGCCCCAGTTAACCTGGACAGCTTTCAGGCAAGGGGGCCAAAACTTATGTTTACATTCGAAATTCTCTCCAATCTATTCCCTCCTCTCCTATCCAACCCTACACCCCAGTTTCTCTTGCCTGAATGAGTGTCCACTACCTCCTAACTGACCTGCCTCCACTCACTTTCTCCAGTCTTCCTTTATAGCTACCAGAATAATTTTTCTAACATGCAGACGTGACATCTGTCCACGTCCTGGCAGCTTTAACACACTCTAGTGCTGTAGTGTATTAGCAAAGTCTAGTACACTGGCTAGAGAGCCACTTAACCAGGTCTCTGAATAAGCCAGCTCCCTCACCCTTTGGGCCTTTCTCCCACTTACAATGCCCACACCTTCCCAGGTAGGCTCTGATGGCACCACCTTCAGACCCCAACTGAAACATTAGCTATCTCCCTAAGGACAGGGATTTTCTTATTTAACTTAATAGCCCCAATTCCAAGCACAAAATGGACAATAAACGGGAATAAATGAAAATGCCAAGTGACCCTAGACAAGTCACTTCATTCTCTGATAATCTCATCAGATACCAAGGGCCCTTCCGCACCAAGGATGCGGAAACTTGGGGGTAGGAGGTGGACACCACCATCACCACTACCACAGGACAATCAGCTGGAGAGAAGGCTCCCTTCTTTCTCAGCCTGCAACCCCACCCACCTGCTTCATCTTGGCCAGCTCTCTTCTGGTATGCTCATCTTGCCGCAGGTCCTTCTTGTTCCCCACTAGGATAATGGGCACGTTGGGGCAGAAGTGCTTCACCTCTGGGGTCCACTTCTCAGGAATGTTTTCTGCACAGACATGTCCCAACAAGTGTCAGTGCCTCTGCTTAGGCTAGAAACTCCCCCCAGGGGCCTGCTTTTCCCACAGCAGAGCTGAAGAGGTGTAACAGTCCTTTTCACAGCTCAAAACCCCTCCTCACAGTACAGCCTCCCCAAGCCCTCCCAAGGGTCAGAATTACTACAGTAAAGGAGACCAACAGGGCCCGAGTGTGCCACCCCAACCCTCCCACCGCAAAGCCTCTGAAGATGGCTGATGAAGACAGGCCAAGGCACGTTCTTGATCCCCCTCCCTCCAATGCCCTCACCCAGGCTGTCGGGGCTGTCAATGGAGAAGCACATCAGAATGACGTCAGTGTCCGGGTAGGAGAGAGGCCGCAGGCGATCATAGTCTTCCTGCCCTGCTGTGTCCCACAGAGCCAGCTCCACCTGATGCACAGGGCCAGTGAGTAGCTAGCCCAAGGGCCCCTACCCCACCACTCAGAGGTCCTCTCTGGAACCACTAGTCCTTTGGGCTCACTGAACATCTATTTATTAAACACCAGCTATGTGCCAGGCATTGTATTAATCAGTCACACAACATAAGTTACATGTTTTTTAAAAAACCTAAGATGTGTTTGGTCTTTGGGTAGTATATGAGTTGCTAATATGAGCACCATCATTTTATTTAATTCTCACAACAACCCTTTGGAGGAGGTCTTACCAGCATCCTCATTTTGTAGCTGGGAGGAGGGGAGGTGGTAAAACCCAGAGGTAAAGGTACTTGGCCCACATTACAGGGCCACTATGTAGTAAAACACCAGAAGGTATATCCAGGTTTTGTAAGACTGCAGTTTCACTTTCTAACTTACTACTTCCAGCAGGGAAAATGAAGCAAGGATGTGGGTGGGTGGTAAGGAAGGACATATGGGACCAGGGAGGGGTTACAAACCAGATGGGAAGGGGCTCTTTGCCTTTACCTGCTTGCCATCCACCTCAATGTCTGCAATATAGTTCTCAAAGACAGTAGGGACGTAGACCTCTGGAAACTGATCCTTGCTGAAGACGATGAGGAGGCAGGTCTTCCCACAGGCACCATCGCCCACAATCACCAGCTTCTTTCGGATTGCAGCCATGGCTGTGACCAGCAGGCAGGAGGCAGTAGGGATTTGGGTAAAACCCAGTAAGCCTAAAAACACTTCTCTAGGGCCCCCCAAACCTTCTTGGAAACTGAGGCATCCAGCAAAGGGAGGGAAAGGAGGAAAGGGGGCTTGCTCAGGTATGTTCTTGCCAAGAGCTAATCGTGCAGGTAACAGCTTGAAATTCCAAATCTCTGGGTCAGGGACAGGTCTACTCAGATGGGTTAGAAAACAACAGTGAAGGGCTGGCCCGTGGCTCACTCGGGAGAGTGTGGTGCTGATAACACCAAGGCCACAGGTTTGGATCCCTATATAGGGATGGCCAGTTAGCTCACTTGGGAGAGCGTGGTGCTGACAACACCAAGTCAAGGGTTGAGATCCCCTTACGAGTCGTCTTTTAGAAAAAAAAGAAAAGAAAACAACAGTGGGAGGTCGAAGAAGAACCCCCTTGGGAGCTAGAAAACATGAGTTTTGATTTCATCCACTTGCCACCTAGAGAGGTGCTCAGGGACCAGGGACGCATCCAGAATAGCCAGCTTTTATCTACTTTACATACTGGGTTTTAGGTCAGACTTCATTTGTTACCAGGGTTTTGATACATTTAAAGTTTAACCAGGGCTGGCTGGTTAGCTCAGTTGGTTACAGCAAGGATCCCCGACCAGCCAGCCACCCAAAAAGTAAAAAATTGTTTTTAATAAACTAGTAAATAGGGCCGGCTTGGTGGCGCACTGCTACAGTGCACCGCTTGGGAGTGCGGCGGCACTCCCACCAAGGGTTCGGATCCCACATACAGACCGGCCGCTCACTGGCTGAGCGAGGTGCGGGTGCAACACCGAGGGTTGCGATCCCGTTGCCGGTCCCGGTCCGGTACGGGCGCGACACTGAGGGTTGCGATCCGTTGCCGGTCACGAAAAAAGACAAAAAGGTAAAATAAATAAATAAATAAACTAGTAAATAAACTTTAACCATCACTAAGGTCCAATCTAGAACAGAGTGTCCCTCAGCACAAGTCATGCCCAGCCAGGGACAAATGAGGAGTCCTTCTCCCAGACCACAGACTAGCAGAACCAGCTATCAGGTGGTGGGTGGGTAAAGGAAAAAATATTTATAGGGCCTCTAGGTACGTGCACTCTGTTGGGCATTTTGACAAAATTATCTCCCTTGCTCCCCAGACACCTGGAAGGTAGACGGTGCACTTCCCACTTTGGCAAACTAGGAAATTAAGCCTCAGTGAGGTTAAGACATGTACTCAGAGTTGTGGCAAGTGAATGGCAGGGACAGCACTTGGATCAGGGCTGTACCTTTTCTACACATCACCCCAAAGGTGGGAAGGAGCACAGAGCAGGGAAACCCAGATAGAAGACAGTGGTAGCAGCCAGCCGGCTTCCCTGGCCCTGCCTGCCCCACCCGCCCCCCAAAGCCCCGAGTCACACAAAGGAGGCTCAGTCCTGGCAGTGCCCACAGCTTGCATTTGGGCAGTCTGCCTTCTTTCCCCCTTCCTCCTGGGCCTGGCAGCAACACTGGGTCACTCAACCTCCAGCAAGGGACAATGACCACACTGTAGGGAGCCACACATTCACTATAGCAGAGCAACTGACAGTAATCCACTAGGGAATCACCTCCACCCACTCTCTAGAACGGCCCCTTCCTCCCTCTGTCCAGCTCACCCAAAGGCCCTGCCCACCCCTCCCTGTGACTCAGGACAAGGAGTCAGCTTCCTGGGGTTTCCATGTGTCCCCCACCCCCAACACACATGAACACATCAGCATCTGCCCAGGTCATCACACCTTCCCAGCTTCCCTCACTTCCTCCTTCCCTGCGAAGGGGAGTGCACCTCCTGCAGCTCAAGTTCCCAGGCCTACAGCCTGGGAGGAAGAGAGGGCGGGCTCTGGAGCTGAGATGATGTTGAGGCTGTGGGGAAGGGGGAGGGGGCCAGAGCCTGGGCTGGGAGGAGCCCCAAAAGACAGACAAATGAGAGCCAGTCCCAGCACCAACCAAGCAGGCAGCAGTTAAGTAAGAAGGGGATGGTAACATGATCTCTGCCCAAACCTTGCTTTTTCTCTCAGTCCCACATCCTGTCAAACTGGGCTGAAATCTACTCCCCACATACCATCACCACCTCACACCCCTGCCTTGGTCTGCCTTTTAGGAAGCAAATACTAGCAAGTCTAGTTGTCTTCTACAGCGGGATCCGGGGTGGCGCCTCCTTCCCATCCACACACGCATTCACAAAACTGGGATGTGAGGGAAGTGGACATGAGTCAGAGAGAATTTATAGGAGTTCAGAGTACATGGCCACACTCTCCCCACCACAGAAGGGGCTCCCCTGATACCCCAAAAGGCAGGCAAGAAGTCATTTACCCTGCCAGCAGATGGCTTCCAAAAATGGAAACATCCTCCAAAAACGGGGTTCCTTGGTAATTCAACCCAGGTGACTGACACTAGTATTTCTTCCAATGCCCCCATACATTCCCATTAGTTCAACTGGCCCAGCTGTTTAAAGACAGGCTGGGGTAGCCCCAACCTGCAGTGGGTAGCGTTGATATGGGACAATCACAACTGGGGTGAATTCCAGTCACTTAGGCATGAGTATGCCACTGCCGTTTCCCAGCAGGGCGGTTTAGGTGGCTCCAGATGGTTGGAGGCAGAGGCTAGAACTCCAATCAGGGACATACTTTAAGTGACATGGAGCCCCAACTTCAATTAGAAGACTTTTCCTCCAGGCTCTGACTGGGCCAGAAGAGCAGGCAGCCCAGGCCAGGCTAGGACACTAGGCCCAAGGCCAAGATGGCATGGACAACAGTTCCCTGTGAGAGGCAGCCCCAGAGGAACTGTCCCACTGACCCTAAGAGGGGCAAGCAAACTCCACAGAGAGCTGGAATGGAGCCTGAAACTTCTAGGGCCTTCCCTGAGCCTAAACAGTGTGGATACACCAGTCCTCTCCTCAATCATTCTTTTGATTTCCCAGATGACCTATGGAGGCTGGCTGTACCTTGCCCACCTCCCCTAAGGTGGTTGAGGGAAGAAATAAGTATTCAGGAAATATTTTGTCCTCAACTTTAAAACCAGAACTGAGTCCTAAGATATCCTTAAACAAAAATGATTTTTAAAAAAAAGAATCGCGTGAGGACAAGACTGGACTGGAGTCCCCCAGCCCAACCTCCCCGGGCTAATTTTTTAGCCTGGTTCAGGAGAGGGGAGATTCTTACACACGCGTGCCCACGCACACACACTCGCACACACATGCACACGCGCGCACACACACGCACACACGAGCTGGATCCTTCCCGATCTCCCTTTCCCCGACCACAAGCAGGATCCAGGAACCGTCTAGGGCGGCTTCCGGACTCCACCGAGCAGTGGCAGCCCCCAATGGTCACACCCCGCCCCTATTCCCGCCATTCCACCATCCTGGCCTGGGGGAATTTCCACCCCCACCCGGACTCGGGCCTGGGCCCACCCCCTACCCCACTCCAGGTCCGCATTTGGCCGCCCGGCCTGGGAGCTAGAGCGTCTGGGTTGGGGCTTCCTCGTGGAGATCCAAGTTGACTCCTCGCCCGGCGGGGCAGGTTCCAGGGAGCCGGGAGGGGAAGGGAAGAGGGTCCAAGCCGAAGGCGAGCGCCCCTGGCCGGCAGTTCCTGGGGCCCCTGGCTGCAGCCCTGGAGGGGGCCGACCCGGCGGGACCCCCGCAGAGCCGGGACGCAGATCACCGGGAGGGAAGGCGGCCCACGCTTGGGCCAGCGCCCCCCGGACCGGCCGCGCCCCGAGCGAAGGGGAAAAGTGCTCTCCCGAGGAAGAGTTCCCCGGATGCCCCGCCGCCCCCAGCCCCGGCCCAAGGTACCTTCCGCTCCGCCGCCTCCAGCTGCGCGGCTAGGGGGAGGAAGAGTCACCGGGAGACGCCTGGACTGCGGAGGAGGGGGAATGAGTAGCAGGCGGGACCCCTCGAGGACCCAGCCTCTGCCCCGCCTTCCAGCCCTGAGGGGCGGACCGGCGTCGGGAAAGTTGAGAGGCGCTCTGGGTGGGGTCAGGAAGGGCCGCTGCTGCCCTCCTGTGGCCAACCAGCCACCCTCTCCTGCCCCGGCCGGGACCTCGCAGGAGGCGGGACTGGGAAAGGGCGGCCCCCGGGGCGCCCGAGGAGGCAGGGCGGGTGCAGAAGATGCCCACCCCACCCTCCGCTCCGAGAATCATTGTGGAGCCAGTGGAGCCCAACTTTTAAGACCTTTCAGAACCTTTGCGACCCAGACCTCCATTCCACCTCGCAATTCCCTTCCTTGCCCCTGCCTGGAATTTCCATGAGTCCAATTCCTACCTGCTCGTCAAAGGGCTCTCCCGGAAATGCTACCGAATCCCCAGCTGGGAATGCAGTTCCTACGCCTATTGTATTATTTCTGTGCCGTTAGGGACATTTCGTCCGGCTTGGTGCATAGGGCATTTTACTTACATGTGTAAGGCGGCCGGAAAGGTGGATGGATGGATGTAGAATGAGGAAGTCTACCGACATTTTATTGGCTTGTGCTCAGCACACACTCACTACATAGCTCATCACAGATCTCTGGAGTAAGTATACCCATCCCCTTTTGTCTGTAAGGAACCGGAGGCCCAGAGAAATCAAGTGGCTTGTGCAAATGTTTGTGATTTCTAAGTGGCAGAGCAAGAATTCAGACAGGCCAGTGTGGATCCAAAGCTGGTGCTTCTCCCTACTGCCTCTCATGCTCCGCCAACTTTTCCTTTCCCCACTGTCTAGCACAGTGTGTTGCACGAATAGGTTTTCAACAGATATTTGCTGAATGAATGAATGTTAGAAGTCACACAGATTTTGAAGATCTGAAGTTCAACCTACATACTTGATAAATGAGCAAAGTGAGATCCAGGATCGCTTGATGCCCAGGTCTCTTAATTCACTCAATGAACGGACTATGTGCTGGAGATCAATTTCTGCCTTCCAACAACTTACACTCTAAATGAGGAATACAGACAACTTCAAGATAGCTAACATTTATAGAACCCTTATTACATGGACCTGGCCATATACGTTAACTACTTTAGTCCTTACAACATCCTTATGAGGTAGTACTGTTATTATCTCTGTTTCACTGAGAACCAAATTGAGGCTCAGAGAGGTTAGAGCTAGTGTTGGGTCTGGCACCGGCACCCAAACAGCTGGATTCTAGAGCCCCTGCTCTTAAATGCTGCTCCCTACTGACTACTAATATAAACAAGGTACGATACAGGAGGAATTGCTGTCATGGGCGCATACATGGGCTGTGGGATACCCCACCCTGAAGAACAGGTGGAGAGTTCAAGATAAGGTGATGTGTAAATTTTAAGTAATAAATTGGGGCTACTACAGGCCCACAGAGTTATGGGCACCTTGTGGGTAGGGAGGAAGGGGGTGGAAGATGAGGCTAGAGAAAGCCTCAGGCAGATCATGAAGGTCCTCCTATGCCATGCTCTGAAGTTGAATGTCAATTTTGTTCTAGGTGCAGCAAGGAGCCCCTGAAGTGTTCTCTCAGGGAATAACCAACTAGAATTCACATCGTGGAAAGGTCACCCTGGCTACTCTGTCCCTAGTACATTGGAGGGAAGCAGGGGAGTGGCCTGGAAACATAGTTCGAAGATGAGTTGCGATGATTTAGGAGAGGAGTTATGAGGCCAATGTAGTGAAGAACTAAGGTAGTGACAGTAGAGATAAGTGGACAAATATGAAATTATTTTTTTCCTTTTTGTCTTTTTTTCGTGACCGGTAACGGGATCGCAACCCTCGGTGTCGCGCCCGTACCGCGACCGGCAACGGGATCGCAACCCTCGGTGTCACGCCCGCACCGCGCTCAGCCAGTGAGTGGACCGGTCTCTATATGGGATCCAAACCCTCGGCGGGAGCGCCGCCGCACTCCCAAGCGCCGCACTCTACCGAGTGCACCACTGGGCCGGCCCCAAATATGAAATTTTTAAAAAAATATATAATCAACAATACATAGTGATTGATTAGCTTGATGAGGAAGAAATGATAACCAAGGATGACCGACTCCAGGATCTCTAACTTGAGAATCTGAGCTGGTGACCATTGGAAGGATGAATCAGGAGAAGGAACATGTTTATGGGGGGAAATGGTGAATTCCATTTGAGGTATGCTGAGCTGAAGTGCCAGTAGGCTATCTAGGAGATGCCCAGGAGACAACTGGGATGTGTGGATCTAAAGCTCGGGGAAGATCTGGGCTGGGAACACTGACCTGGAAGGTATCAGCAGATGGATGAAGCCACAGAAGTGGATAAGAACTTTCATGATGAGTGTGTGGGAAGAGTGGAGGGTGGGAGAAAGAACCTGGGGAATATTAGTTTTACGACTGTCCTGGGTTTTTTTCCACCACCCCACAGAGCTTTTCCTTACCTCCCAGTTTCTTGTCAAAGCAAATAAAGACACACATCTTTATCCACCTGGTTTATTTGCCAATAGCTATAATTCTGGATCTAGCTGACATCCCTTTTTCAGTTAAACTGTCACTAAAGAAGGGTCAGGGAGACAGCTTCAGAATTTGGGCTGGGCGAGAGATAAGTATGGAGAGGCTGAGATGGTGGTAGGAGGGATGGGGCTGAGCCCCTCAGGAGTAACTGCCTGGCCCTCCCAGAGGGATGACGAAGACCGAGATGTCATCCCCGGAACCCAGCTTGTTGTTGGGGAGACGCCAGCCACGGTCCCGGGGGGTGCCCCGGGCCCCCAGGACCAGGGCTTGGGCCAGAGCTGTATACCTGCCAGAAGCACACATGCATATTCATGTAGCAACATGTATATGGTAAGATAGATACACAGGTCCACATGTGTGTCCCCAAGCACTGCTTCCCTTTGCCCTTCACCAGTGCCTTCCCCTCACAACCATGCTATGCAACCCCTACCTGCTAGGGTCATTGGGCTCATAGGCCGACAGCACTCTGTCCACAGTGGCAGCTACCTCACAGTCATTGGTGACATCCCACAGGCCATCTGTTCCCAGGACTAGTACATCATCCGGGCAGTGCTCATACTGTGTCAGGTCATATACTCGTACCTGGCGGGAAAGAGGGTAGAGAGGTCTGAGGTGTGGAGTTGGTAGACAGGAATCGGGGTGTAAAGGGACTCTGGATGAAAGCCAGCCTGAGACCTCCAGAGGAGGTAAGGTGTGGTTAAGGAAAACCCCATATGGCTCACCTCAGGGAAGCAGGAGAGGAAGGGCTTGATGGGCAGGGTGGAACTGCAGACTTTAAGGCTGTGGTCTCCCAAGCCCCGGGTCACCCCAATGGTGGCCATCACCCGAGCCTGAAAGAAATGAGGACTGGATACTGCTATAGTCTTCTCCCAGACTCTGAAACCATAGTCCCCTGTCCCACCCCTACCCTCAGAGAACCTCCACCTCCCTAGACAAGTTGTGGTGGGTCCTCCTGCCCTCTCTCACCTCTACCATGGAGTTTACCTTTTTGCCCTCCCCACAGACCAGAGGAAACCTGAGATCCTCCAGCTCGATCTTTTTGTAGGCCCTGGGGAAGGGGGAGTAGAGGAGGCATCACCCAGGCATCAGAGCCCCTCTCCCCTAGGAGCCACACACCTTTACACAAACACCTTAGAAGGGCCACATCCCCCCAACTACCAGCCTGGCCCAGCCTCCAGCTTCCACCCTGCTGCTGGCAAGGGACTGGTTGCGTTACCATGGGAACAGGCCCCAGCTCGGAGGGAAGTATTACCAGCCAGTCATGTTCTGGTCCCGGTACAGCATCCTCTGCCCCAGTTCCTTGGGCTGAACTCTGCGGGGGAACTCAAGGTGGGTGAATTCACTGCCCAGCAGCTCTGGTTTCAGGAAGCCCTGGGGTTGGGAATGGCCAGACAGAGCAGAGGGCCAAGGTGCATTATGTTCACAGCACACCCTGGTATACAGACTATGTTAATTGTAGCAGACTCTTACATAGAGTTTACCATGTGCCACACTTTCTAAATGTTAACATATAGTAACTCACTTACTCCTCACAACAACCCTTAAGACAGGAACTACTGATGTGCAGAGAGCTTAAGGGAATTGTCAAAGATCATGCAATTAGCAAAGTGCTAAAATTAATCCCAGGCAGCCCAACTCCAGAGCCCATGTGGTAAACCACTAAGCCATACTGCCTTTCAGGGACCTTTGTTGTTCCCTTTCCCCACCTCTGACTCTACTTCCTTGGTGGGGGGGAGGAGAGGGAGTACAGGACCAGCCCAGGCTCCTTCCTGCTGCATCTTCCCACCAGCCCAGCCCTGCACTCTATAGTCCGTACAGCTGCTTTCCCATAAGCTCCCAGTAAGCCAGTAAGGAGATTTCTCTGTGTGTGGTGGGGGAGTGAGGGTGTGAGAGTTCTCAAGGAGATATGGTGTAGAGGCACAAGACCCAACAAATTATGGGAGTAGGGAGTTTGGTTCCTACTTACAAGCAGCTGAAGACGCTGGCGCTCGGTCTCTGGGGTAAACTCCCGGGACATTGGAATGATTTCACCATTCCGGACAATAATGGCCCTGCCCAGAAAAAGAAATGATTTGAGTCTGGCTTTCCTCAGCTCCCTCATGGAGAATTCCAGAAAGGCCAGGCCCTTCCCATAATGACCCTTAGGATGCCTCACCCAGACCCCCATCTTTCTTCCCCTCATGGATATTTCAGGCCTTTCCTTAGGTTTACGATTCCTTCTGACCCCCCTCCAGTCTGATTTTTAGCCCCCGCTGCCTCATTCTCTTCTGTTCACCCATCCCAGGCAGTGTGGCCCCTGTAGCCACTTTCAAATCCCCCCTCCCCCATACCTGCTGTCGCCTGCATTGGCCACATACACCTTGCCTAGCAGGTAGACCACAACCAGTGCACAGCAGCCC